TTTTTGAAACTGTTAATATAATTAAACTATCACATCACTCTGTGTGTTCAAAGGAGTGAATATTTTCATAGTAACCTGACATTCAAATCATCTATTTAAAAACAACAAATGAAATCTCTGTTAGAAGTCAAATTTTGGATCATTTAATTTTCTTCTGGAACTTTTATTTTGTTCCTATGTGTCTTATAGAGTTTCATCCTATTATAGTTTTATACTTACATTAATCCTCTCTTGTCTCTACAATAAAATAATACACACACACACATACAATACACATTAAAATGCTTTTCTATTTATGTTTCTTATGACTATAAATCTCTAAGGGTTAAAAATTTGTTCTGAATTGAGCTATATTACAATATCAAGAATATGTTATCAAAGCAATGTAAGTCATTTTAAAAACTTTTAAATGATAAACAAAAGTAAAAAATGGGATTGCATGTTAATAAGATGAATTAAACAAGTTTTCAACTAATTGGTTCATTTATCCATAGATGACTATTACATATTGCTACAAGACAGGAAGGGTTCAATTTTTCTTCCCATTTGTTGTTTCTATAGAAGTACTAAGAAACCTGCTCACACAAAGAATAACATGTTTTGCCGGGCAAAGTGGCACATGCCTATAATCCCAGCAGCTTGGGAAACTGAGACAGGAGAATTATGAGTTCAAAGCCAGCCTTAGCAACTCCCTGAGGCGAGACCCTGCACCAAAAAAAAAAAAAAAAAAAAAAAAGAATAGTGTGTTTTATTATAGCAATGTCAATTCTTTGAACTTCTTATGAATTACATGCTAAAAAAATCACAAAACATAATTTTTAATATTCTACATTATCATTTGGTTAAGTCATCTTTTAGTTTTGTTGAAAGTGAGGAATTAGAAACCACTGACTTGCAAAGAATTTATGAACAAATCATTACAGTAATCCATGCTCTCAATTTTTGGGAAGTATATCAAAAAGACTGTGTACTACTACCCATGAAATAGCTGTCAATTACCCTCTCATTCTTTTCAAAGGGAAACTAGTTTAAATTGCTATTCACAAAAAGAGTTGGGATCAACCCAAACATAAATCTCAATTTACTCTTATCAACGTAGTATATTTTATGAAATGCTCTTGTCTGAGTTCAAGCTTTTAACATATTTTCATCCATACTTTAGAAATTATCATAGCAGAATTTCTTCACCAAAATTACCAATGAAAGTAAGAGTGCAACAAATATAAGTTCCCAAGTAGTTCATTTGTTATAAAAGAAGAAATGACATTAGCCAGTGGTGAATTATTAAAACTCGTTTCATTTCAGTGGCCAAAAAAATGTGTCAAAAAAAACCCCCAAGCCAATTTGGATTAGCAGTCTTTTTGGTGAGGACAGTTGGGCAAACAGTTGGAACAACACTGACAGTCAATTAAAAACCAGGCAGATGACTTTGAATGTTTTCCCTTGGCTCTTGATAAGTAGACACGTGTTCCCAGTGCTGCCCAGTTGTTGTTATTTTAGGAGTCAATGCTGGGTTTGGAATGAATCAGCCTCCATGAACAGTATTCATGGAACAATTATAGGCAAGTGGAATATCTGCAGCTCTGTCTTCTTTCTCAGAATTGCTTTGGTTATTTGGAATCTTGTGGTTCCAAAGAAATTTTAGAATTGTTTTATCAACTAAAAAGTGCTGTGAATAATTTCGTTGGAATGTTGATAGGTTCCAAATCTTTTATTGCATTGAAACCGTAGGTTACTTTAGGTAATACGGACATTTTTTAACAAAATTGTTCCAATTTAACATGGATTGTTCCAATTCATGAACACAGGATATCTTTCCCTTTATTTGTGCCATCCTCAATGTTTTTCCCCATTAGTGTTTTACAATGTTCAGTGCATAATCTTTCATCTCTTTGGTTAAATGTACTCCTAAGTATTTTCTTCATATTTTGTTTTTAGTTATAGGTGGACACAATATCTTTATTTTATATTTATGTGGTGCCGAGGATCAAACAGTGCCTCATGCATGCTAGGCGAGCGCTCTACCTCTGAGCCACAACCCCAGCCCTATTCCTAAGTATTTTATATGTATTTTGATGCTGTCACAAATGGGATCTCTTTTGCAGATAGATTATTGGAATACAAAGTATAAATTCTTTGAATGAGAAGAATCACTGTCAATCACTACTTCAAACATTAAAAATGACTTTGGACTTCTTGATAATATTTCTTAATTCAACCTAAAAATTACAAGACAAACAACACTCATGTTAAAACTTACACTGGAGTAATGTCATTTGAACAACTCATGTTGCTTGGATCACAAGAAATGTCAACCTGCATTACATACTTCCAGTGCCAGAAACTGAAACAAGAAATCACATCTCCATTCCCACACAGATTGGCAGTGGATGTTTTCCAACCTTAAACTACAGTTCCAGAGTGTTCGTTAGACTACAATGTAGGTGCAAAGGAAATTCCTGTATTTCAAAATTCAGTTAACTGTGCCACTGAGAAACTTCTACAAGACTTTGGATGGCAAATATCAGGAGAAAAATCCAATAGGATTATGTAAAAGCCTATGAAGAAATAAATAGGTTCAATTTAAACTACAGGTACTGAGATTATATCACTACCGGGCAGTAGCTATCTGTGTAAAAAGACAGTTTGAAAGATGAAAGATAAGCATTAACATTTTCAATTTTGATGAGGAAGGACACTAAGTTTGGAAATGGCAGTGGACAGAATGCCAGTGTGTCTGCTTCTGTCTCTGGACAACTGCACCTAGCATTCTTCATCACTGACATCTTGAGGTCCATCCGTAGGCCCCAGTGCTTTTCTTCTGTCATGAGATGTTGGTGGAGAGCAAAATACAATCCTATGGAGGGGAATTGGCCAAACCTAGAAAATCGCATGTGTTTGACTCACCAATCTCACTTCTTGAATCCTATCTCAATGGTACACAAGCAAAAATATAAATGGCATGTGTACATAGTTACTTGCACTATCATTTACCATAGTCAAAGTGGGACACCATTCAGATGTTCCTAAAATAGGGATCAATGAGATACAGCACCCTGGATTTTTGTGCAGACATAAAAGAGAAGGATGATGCTCTCTAAAACTAGAAATGTTCCCTAGGACACAGAATGAAGTGAAAAAAGCAAGGTGCAGAAATAACATATGTCATCTTTTGCATTAGTAATAGCAGCAGGGAAAGGGACACGTATGTGTGTATGCATAAACATAATCCTAAAAACTCTAACCTGAAGAGTAAAGTAGCTAAAAAAATGAACTTAATTTTCTACAAAGTTAGTGTCCTAATTGCTCAGAGAAAAGCATTATTGCCACTGACTTGGAACACAGTCTTCACTGTGCTTCTTTAGTAGGATCCACTCAAAAGACAGTGCTACACAGAAGTCTCATGTCATTTGAAGTAACATGAAAAAGGGAAGGGAGTCCTTCTGCTGCTTCAGAAAGATAACACGTGGGAAGGGGATTATGTCATTAGGGAGAATCTTAGAGTAGACCAAGTGCAGTGTGTGTCTGGAATCTGGAAGTTGCATAGCCTTGTCAGTGGAACCTAATGAATGCTTGTTTTGTCCTCTCATTTAATATCTGGTCCCTGTCCATGAACCTACAATAGTGCCCATCTCGCCTGCACTAAGTAATGTTGTTTTTATATGCACCACTAGGAACCTAGGCCACTAAAGCCCCTTCTACAGAAAGAGCTGCCTCTGGCCTGAAGAAGCTGCTGCAGCCATTGAGGGAGTTTCCGTGACAGCCTCGGAGAAGCCAGAAGCCGGCAGCTGAGTAAGAAGGAAAGGGACCCAGGAAGGTCCCAAAGTTAAATAAAAGCAGAGCTTTTATTTGAACTTCAGAGTAACAATAAGTAACTTTATTTCATAATATATTCCTACTAAAAAATTAACCCGTTATCTGAAATTCAAATTTACATAGCCTTGCAGTATTTTATCTGGTAACCATCAACCTGGGGCGTTTAGGGCAGTTTTCCTATCGGGGCTGCAGAAAGGTTTCTCCCTAGGCCCTAGGGGTCCTGCCAGCGAGAAGGAGGAGGAGAGGGAAGAGTAGGTGAGGGGACCTGGAGGGAGGAGAAAGAAAGTGGAGGGGAAGGAGGGTGGGGATGAGGAGGAGGAGCGGGCTCACAGAGTGGCGACCTACGGAGCTCCGAGGAGCGAACCAACTCTTCCTCGACCTCGCAGCTCTCAAGGTCCAACCGTGAGAACCGCCTCTGCCAGGGGAGAGGAACTGTTCTGAGAAGGGTTCCTCCCTTCTTGGTGTGCGCACCCGACGCATGCGCCTACACCAGTCCGCGAATCGCGTCCCGATGCTAGGCAACGAGCGCGCCCCTCCCGGGCCAGAGGAGGCGTCCGCCCCGCAGGGTCGCGCGGAACAGTGAGCGGAGCTTGCGCCAAGGGGGACGGAGCGGGAACGCGCGCCCGAGGGGAGGGGACGCGCGCGCAGGACTGGGGGCGCGCGGAGGGGAGGGTACAGGTGGGTTGCCACCCAGAAGCTGGGAGCCATCGGGCCTGGATGGGGTGTCGACTCTATGGGGAGAGGTGAAGGGGCAGCGGACTTAAGGGAAGGAACCTTGAGAAGCTGCTTGTCCTAGAAGGCAGGAGACCCGAGCCCCTGGGAGACTCGCAGTATGCTCTGTGGTATGGCAATGTCACGCTTCTGCACCTTTGTGCTTGCAGGTGACCTCGGGACCCTAGCGATATCACTCTTCCTAGGCCCAGTTGAGTGTGCAGAATACTCTGCTAGCATTTCCCATGTTGGTTTTTGTTTTTGCGTCTGGGGGGATTGAACCCAGGAGTGCTTTACCACGAAGTTATATCCCCCCCCCCCCGCCCCTTTATTTTTTCAGGGCTGAGGACCGAACTCAGGGGATTTTGTGAAAATGAAGATTCTGAATCTGTAGCTCTGGGTAGGACCTGAGAATCTGCATTTCCACAAGCCCATAATGACAAATGACCACCCCATAGAATCTGGGCTGGTCATTTGTCATTAAACTACACTGAGTGAGAGGGTGCAGACGATTGTTTATTCTCATTCATTAGTTCAGTTGGGCTACAGATTAGCAGAAAGAGACACCACCCACCTCCATTCCCATTGTCCGGCCCTACACCTGTGACTTTAACAAATTTATTCTTTTACAGTTATTGAGGTGAGAAGTCCTAAATGAGTCTTCAAGGCTAAAAACAAAGTGTCAGAAGGCTTCTGGAGATTCTGGGGGAGAATCCATTCCTTGCCTTTTCCTGCTTCTAGAGGCTGCCCTTGGCTTCTGGCTTTGATGACATTACATCTTCTTTCTCTGCTTGCCCTTCCTGTCTGACGTTGCTGGTCTGTCTTATAAAGATGCTGTGATTACATTATACTGACTTGGATAATCTACTCCTCATCTCCAGATGCTTAATTTAATCACATTTCCAAAGTCCCTTTGCCATATAAGGTAACACATTCATAAGTTTCAGGTATTAGGACACAGAGACCTTTGGGGGCCACTATTCAGCCCTAGAACTAAGACATTCTCTCCCTCAAGAAAGTTAATAAATTATACTGTATAATCTACAGTTTGCATTTAACTTGCCTAATTTCCCCAACAATATATTTTACAGAATTCTTTTTTCTGGTCTTGACCCAATCTAGAATCATGTTATGTGTAGTTTTTATGGCTGTGTAGTCCCCTTTGATCCATATTGGTTCCCTATCTTTATTTAGTTTTTCATGACCTTGACATTGATACTGATTTTGGAGGTCAAGATCAGGTCCATGATCCCCTAGTGTTGAAGATTAAATACCCAAGAAATGTTGAGGCAAGCATAGAAAGCAAGTTTCATCTAAGAAAGGGACAGACTTCTCCAAGAGAAGTGAGGCCCAGAATAGTGGATGCAGGTGTGTGTTTCAAAGTGTGATCCTCTGAGGTGTTGGCATCCCATTGAGCTGGGAAGTGTGATCTGGAGGTTAGCTGTTAGCAATCCAGCAATAACCAGCCATCAGAAATTTTACAATGGTGAAATCTGGCCAATGCAACCTCGACCAAGTGATCAAACTGAGCACTTTGTGACATCACATGCCTCCTGATGGGATATGCTCTTCCTATGGAACATCCCTGCCTGGCCTGAGGGAACAGAAAATGTCACATTCCTCAAAAAACTGAGACGGGGTAGAAGACCTGGCAGGTAGTGTAGATGTTGAATGATGGGGATCCAGAGAGGATGATGGCTGGTTATTGCTGGTTAATGGTGGGGTGTGTAGGAGGGGGTGAGCCTTTCTCAGAAATGCCCTTAGGAAGGAAAGTAAAACTGAAGATGGCAGCTGTCACTTATGATGGACATCCACATGCTAAGCAAGGACCTTACAGGGAGGAACAAACTAAAAAACATCTCCAGAAAAATGTGAAGGCTGGATCTGAGCCTCTGCTATTCCTTGGATTCTTCTGGGGTTTAAATATGTAAATTTCAGGAATATGGAGTTGGTCAGGGAGCCAGGTGCTGGGCTATTGCACGGCACAGTCTTCTACTGTTAATAGCTAACATTTAATAAATCCTAACATGTGCCAGGCCCAGGGCCTCTCAGGTGTGTGTTACATCTATGAATCCTCTGTTTGTTATAAAGTGCATACTTTAGTTATTTCTCTTCTACAGATGAGGAACCAAGGCTCAGAGAAATGCAGCAACTTTCCGATGATCACACAGCTGCAAGTGGCAGCACCAGGCCTGGAACTTGGTCCTTCTGAGCCCAGAGTCTGTGTTCCTCCTGCTCTGCTTCATGGCCATGCCTCCTTGAACCTTCTGGCTTGAGCCACCTTCCCTCCTGCTTGTCAAATCGGATCAACAGTAAATATGGGGGCTTGACCAGCCTGAGGCAGTTTCTGCTTATGAACTGGGGAGTGGAACAGTGTGTTAGCAGTGGCCAAAGGACCTAGCATTTCCCCTTCTTTCTGCTCCTCCCCAGGGAGATTCTGTGGTCCTTTGTGAAGTAAATGAGCTAATCTTAGATCTAAGTCACAGGCTGTCCTTCTGACCTCACAATAGCTCACCTTTCAGGGTGCTCAGAGCTCTTCCCTGGTGTCTCTTCCTGCTTGTTTTCTCCCTACAGGGTAGAAATGTGTGTGCATTAAAGGTCTCAGCCTTCTTAACCGCCAATATATCAAGCTCCTCTCAAGCCTGGTGATCCCAGGACCTACTGTCTGATCTACTCCAACTGGAGAGCTTTGGAAAACAAGTCTGCTTGAACATAAGGGCGACTGGCAAGTATGCATTTGTTGGTTCTTTTGAGAAGGGTGATTCTATGGTTTGGATCTTAAATGTCCCCAAAGGCCAGATGCTGTCATCTGGATCTCTAGCCTGAGGTGCTATAGGGATTTGGTGCAACTCTACAGGGGTGAGGCCTAGTGGAAGCCCTTGAAAGGGGATTGTGAGACTCTGACTGCTTTCTCTTTTGCTGTTTGTTTTTGGCTACTATAAGAAGAGCTTCTCTGCTCCACCTGATGCTCCCTGCCATGGTGTTCTGCTGAACCCCCATAGACTGAAACTACTGACAAAAATAAATTTGTCTTTATATGTTGATTACCTCAGGTATTTTGTCACAGCCATGGGAAGCTGATGAACACGGGTGCAACCAAGTAACATATTTATCCTGAAATAAATCTGAGTTGGTTAGAATGAATCTGTTTTTAAAATATGATTACCTGTGTACAAGAATGTGTCTGTTTGGATGCTTCCCAGGTCCCCAGGATGGAAACGGAATACCTAAAGAAGTGCTTTGGAAATTCCTTGTCCCAGGCACTGGCAGAAGTGGCGAAGGTTCAGCCCAATGACCCAATAGAGTTCCTGGCTCGATGGCTTTATCATTACAGGAAAATAGCTCTAGCAAATGAAAAGGTGCATGTGTGTGCAGGTGTGTGCAGGGCTCAGCTTCCCTGGAGGGACTGGGATCCAAGGCAGGGTGCTGGAGTTGGCCAGGGGGGCTTGGTTCATCCACCTTCCCAGGATGACTTAGGCCCAAGTATCCCTGAAGTGTGGAGAGTCTGCAGCTGGAATCCTACTCAGGGGTGTGGAGTCGGTGGGTTTGGAGCTGCCAGCAGGCTAAAGCTAGTTACAGGAAGAAACTCCACAGGCTTAAAGGACCCAGGTCCAGGACTATCCCCAGGGAGGGCGGGCCCTCTTATAAGACCTCCTGGTGCTGACCTGACTTGAGCCTGTGACATTACCCCAGAATATGCAAGAACAGATCCAGCTGAAGGAGGAATATGAGAACAGCCTCAGGGAAAAGGAAATGGCAGCAATGATGAAACAAGAAGAGCTTCAGATTCAACAGAAGTGTAAAGAGTGTGGCAAGGTAGGAAGGGGGCACTCACCATGGCCCATTCCCATCCCAGGGATGGACTCCAGGAAATCCCCAGGGCAGCCGCCACCACCGTGCTGAGCAACTGAGGCCCCCTTAGTCAACTTTTCCTCCCTGTCACACATTCATGTCTGAACCAGGTCTTGTCAATAAAAATAGGAAAGGTTAAAAGGCAAATTCATGTTAGATTCAGGAAATATCACTGATGTTACTGACTTACACATCTAGATTCTATTCACCTGGAACAAATATTTTTTTCAGAGATCCTTTGAGCCCTTTCCAAAAACTATTCAAAGTTTTTTCAGAAACCAAACATGGTTATCAGTGCATACTTAATGCATATGGTAATATTAGTATTTTATTATTAAATTTTCTTTACTTGTCAAGCCTCCGGTGCCTCCTCTTGGATGCTATAATGATAAATATAAGTTCTTAGTTCACAATAGTTGGAAACAACTGTGCATTTACCACCCTGACAAGCAAATATTTTATCTCCCACAATCTTTCCTACAATTTCCTAAAATATGTCTGCTGCTATCTCATGATTTCTACAAATTACATGATGCCTGAACAGGTAATTCATTTAAGGGGGTTGTCGGGCTTGAGATCTGAAATCTTCTTCAACTATCACTACATCCTTCTACAAGTCACTAACTTTGGCTGGTTTCCAAAGCTGACTTTGATAGCATGAAAGTACTAAGTTTATTTTCATTTATAATAATATACTCAGCATTCTCATAAATAATGAATATACCCAAATATATATATATATATTATTAGTTATAATCAGTTATTTATTTTTAAAGCTGAACATGTATAACTAAATTAAAAGAAAGATGGTTTGTGCTATTTTTTGATGTGGTCTAGAGAGCTCTCCCTCAGGAAGGGTTCATGCTTGGAGCAGTTTTTGGGGGACGGGAGAAATTAGGCTCAGTAAGTGAAAGTCACCATCACCTTACTGATGACCCAACCATTTTCTAACACCAAGTTTCTCTGCGAATAGAATTAAAAATATATGATAATGGATTCCGAAGTCTCTACCCTAGTTTTACAGTAGCTCTATCGAAGAAAACTTGGCTCACTTCTGTATTTTGAATGTCCCTTTGTGTTGCACTGGGGATGTTTTGCACCTGGCAGCAATATACCTCAGGAAGATTTTTTATTTTTTTTTTTACCAAGAATTGAACTCAGGGGCACTCAACCATTGACCACTTCCCCAGCCCTGAGTCTCTTAGCCATTGCTGAGGCTGGCTTTGAATTCGTGATCCTCCTGCCTCAGTCTCCTGAGCTGCTGGGATTACAGGTGAGCCCCACTGCGCCCAGCCTCAGCAAGATTTTGATAAACAACAGGTTTGCTCTTTTGCCAAGGGTGAGACGTGGGGAATTATAAGGGAAGATAAGAACTAAGAGACAATGACTGGGTTGTGTGCAAGTTTTCACATTTAGAGAAGAGTTCGTGTGCAAATTGTGGTTATGTAAATAGATTCCACTTGTTAGAAGGGAACAAACAGAACCCAAGGGGGATCTAAAATAAAGCTGAAAGAATCACCTACCGGCAAGGGAGAGCTGCATCATTCAGGTCTGAGTTAATTTCCAAGTAGAAGTTGAAAGAGCGAGATAAAAGACAAGATGCCAAGCTCTGGTTCCCAACTGGCTCAAGGTGGATTATGGACTATCCCTTGCTGTTGGCTGCCTGCAAATTTTGCATCACTAGTGCTGAGAAATCTGGCTTCAAACAGGCCCAGGAGGGGTTTCATGAAATTTCAGCAGTCCTGCTGGTTCGCCTAACTGGCTTATATGCACACCCTCAAAGCTTTGCCAGATTTTCCTCCCTTAATCCTTTAAAACCATCTTTGTTTTTGTCTTAGCAAGACTTTGTTAATTTTTTTTCTTGAGTACCCCAGATAGAATACTAGTCTAGTGGAAGTGTCAAAAGAAGAATGGAAACAGAGTTCTCAGTGTGGCAGAGGTCATTCCAATTAAGGAATCAAGAAGAGCTCCGTAGAGTGGGTAACAGTAGAGTCCAGGCAGAGAGAGCCAGCGAGGCTTGACCTATATGGGTTTCTCTTCACTAAGTAGAGGAGCTTTGACAATATAAACCATAATTTTGTATCTCAATCAGAAAGCGATTCCTATTGTTTATAAAGCTCCGAAGCATTCATGTTTTAGGAATACGTTTTCATAAAAATCAATACAGGTATTTGTTGCACAGACTCAACACTTTGAATGCAGAAGGGTCTTAGAGATCATGTGACCAAGTGCTTCACCCAGAGCTCTCTGCTCGGTCCCTTAGGGTTCAGTGTGGAATGAAGCTCTGAGACTTCTAGGCAAAGATGGGAAGGAGTTGGCTCAGCCAGAGACTACAATCAAAGGGTATTAGACACCTGACATTGTTTCATAGGTCCCGGAGGGCACTGCTCATTTTTTCAATCTTTTTTCCTCTGTACTTTGGACAATTTCTATTGATCTGCCTTCAGGTTTGTTGACACTCTCTTGTTCCATATCCTATGTTAGGATTTCTGTGGGTTTTAAAAATTTGCAGATATCATACTTTTCAGTTCTAGAATTTCTTGCTGGGTTTCCCCTGCCCATCCCCCCTTTTCTTCCTTCCTTTCTTCCCGGCCCCCCACCCCAACCTCTCTCTCTTTCCCTCTTTCTTGATATTGGCTGGGGATTGAACTCAGGACCCTACACATGCTAGGCAAGTGCTCTACCACTGAGATAAGGTCCCCATCCCCTTTTTTAAATTTTATATTGAGACAGAGTTCATTAAGTTGCCCAGACTGATCTCAAACTTGCAATCCTTCTGTCTCAGCCTCCACAGTGACTGGGATTACAGAAATGTTTATTTATCTTTTTAAAATAATTTCCTTTTTCTCTACTGACTTATTCTTTCACTTACTATGTTCTTTTTTTACTTAAATTTTTGAAAATATTAAGTTGTTTTAAGTCCTTGTCTGCTAATTCTGGCATCTATGTCCTGGGGTCTCTTTTTATTAAATAATTTTTCACTAGATTATGGTTCACATTTTCCTACTCCCTCCTACGTCTAGTAATTTTTACTCCTATGCTGAACGTTGTAGGTGGTATTTTCTAGGGAGCCTAGACCATGTTGCTTTTCCTTTCAAAGGCGTTGAGTTTTGTTCCGGAGGCAGTTAGATCATTGGTGAGTCACTTGATCCTAGCAGATTTGATGGTCTGCTTTGCTGTGGCAGCTGTATTTCAGTTTTGTACTTAGCCTTTGGCATGAAAATAGCAACATCGTGTTCCTGCCATTCTTGGGCATGTTTCTGGAGTGTGGTTAGCCTCTACTAATGTATTAGTCTGCTTTTTGTCACTGTGACCAAAATATCCAACTAACTTAATAGAGGAAATTTTTATTTTGGGCTCATGGTTACAGAGATCTCAGTTCATAGTCAGCTCAGGCCATTCTTCTGGGCCCAAGGTGAAGCAGACCGTCCTGGCAGAAGGTGGGGTAGGGAAACCTACTGGGCTCATGGCAGCTAGAAAGCAGAGAGAGTGTGAGGAGCCAGGAACAAAATATATAATGCCCAAGGCATGTCCCCAGGAACCCACTTCCTCCAGCCATGCCCCACCTGCCTACAGTCACCACTCAGTAAGTAGTCTGTTCAAATAATTAATCCATCAAATGGATTAATGAACTAATGAGGTCACAGCCTTCATGATCCAACCATTTCTCTAAAGTGCCACCTCTGAACCTTGCCACATTGGGGGACCATGTTTTAACATGAGCTTTTCAGGGGGACATTCCTAATTCAATCCATGACAACTAATACCTTTTTTGCCTTCTATTTAGAAATCGATTTCCCTAACCACTTTCAAAAAGAAAGTCTCATTCAAGCAGGAAGACACAGAACCCGTTGAAGAGGGGTCCTTGGAGCAGGAATCCCTGCCGGATACTCCAGCAATGCCTTACCAGATTCCTTCTTCAGAGCTAGTTGAGGAGATTGAGCAGAACTTGGAATCCCCATAAGATCAAATCACCAGGAGGCTTTTCCCTGTGAAGTTGCTGATTAAAATGCCTTCTGACTCCAAATCTCCTTTTTTAATTATCAGAATGGGAAGAATTTGAGTGATCCTTCCCTCAACCCTGCAGTCCAAGAAAATAGCCCTGCAACAGAGCTCCTGCCAACCAAGGTTGGCAGGACTCTGAAAGGAGGTATCTGCAGGGCCTCTTCAGCCTGGACAGGCAGCTAGCCATGAGAACCTTTATCTTGTGGAAATCCACTCAGAATAAAGATTTCAGAATAAGGAATGGAATGGTTGAGTCTTTTCCCTGTTGTTTTATCATTTATTTGGAGACTGCCCAGTAAGAGTGTTACCTCCGGTTACTGGTGACAAGGTCTGCTTCCCCAGATGTGAAGATTGAACACCTGGGAAACACCCAGGTAAGCATAGAGTACGAATTTTATTTAAAGAACAGTAACACAGAGCTGGGGACATAGCTCAGTTGGTAGAGTGCTTGCCTCACATGCACAAGGTCCTGGGTTCAATCGCCAGCACCACACACACACACACATACACACACACAAAAAAAAAAAAGAGAGAGAGAGAGAGAAGGGGGCCCAGAGCTGAGTGTCTGTGTCAGGAGGTGAATCTTATCCTTTTTATAATTTCCAGGTTTCTTACTTCTCAAGTCTCCTCCCCTTATCTCCACCCATGCAGTGAAAAGGCAGAAAAGGAGCAATTCTGGGGGAGCCGCCCAGGGAATATTCATTAATAATTCCCTGCTGGGGGTGCTGAGGTTGTGGCTAGCATGTGTGAGGCCCTGGGTTCGATCCTCAGCACCACATAATGACAAATAAAGGTATTGTGTCCATCTACAACTAAAAAATATTGAAAAAAAAATTCCTTGCTGGGAAGGACAATCTCCCCTGAGGCAGGTGACTTTTTGGTTAGGGGTTAGGGGAGGGGGGGAGTGGTCTCAAGGTGTTACCAAAAGCTTGGTCCTTGTCCCTGATGCCAATCCAATAACAAGGATATCCTTTTGAGGAAAAAGGTGTATTGCTTTGCTAGTGAAGGAGAAACACAGGGGCCTTCTGTTCCAAAGGCTGTGATTCTGCCCATCACCTGGAACTGGGGGCTATCAAAGAGGTGATCCACAGTGTTCTGTGTTGGAGTTGTAATTTGGGAGATAGTCACTCGTTAATTTGGGTGATAGTCACTTCGGAGATCTTCTGGCACCATCCTCAAAGTCTGGATTACTTTGTGCCTATGGTGGGGGTATATTCAAGGACAGATAAATCTGCCAAACCACCACACTATGGTGCCTCGTGTGATGTGATTAATAACTAAGCAGGAAACTGAAGGGTAAAAAGGACAGGTGTGGGAAATCCAAGATGACTGCCAGGCTTCTGACTTGAGTCCCAGAGGTGTGGACCGTGGTGGCTTTTCCTGCAATAAAGGACACAAGAGGAAGAGCAACTGAGGGCATGCTGGGTATATTGTACCTAGGAAAGGAACAAGCAGGAGGATGTCACAATTGGGGGCATCCCTGAACCACTTCCTTCACCCAAGCTTCAAGAAAGGCCAAAGCCCTAGCCCAGCTGAAGCTTTTCTGTAAGATCCCCGAGCAGAGGTTGTAATTGGCTGTTCATCATCTGAAGGGGCCTCAGAAGTTCTTCATTTCAACTCTGTGAATGACAGTGTCCATTTCCAAGTGTAACAATTTTAAAGACCTGAGATCCTGTAAGAGACACTTTCCCAAACTTAGGAGATAATAATGCTTAGCTTAGAGGGTTGTCTTTATGGATTTCTTCTATTCCAGAAGCAAGTTGACCTTCTTAGCTGTTTAAAAACCCACATTACAATGGGTGTGGCTTGGTGGTAGCTCTTGGAGTTAGAATGCTTGTATAAATGTTCCTTAGATTCTATTTTCAGGGTTTGCCTCCCCAAAGACAGAAGTCTCACTGTGAGAGTGGCACTTGCTGCCCACTACTGCCCACAGGTCATGGTCTGAACCTAAGAAATACCAATTAAATAGAAGAATTCCCAGGGGTTCCGCCCTGGAGCCCCGTCAAGCCCTGACACCCCTTGGCCCTCTGCTAACACAGCCAACAGTCCAGTACTGGTGCCTCCGTGGATCATCACTGTGGACAAGAGACCCAAGGAAACACCTCTGTGAGCCTCTGACCCAAGCACTCATGTATTTTAATGTGGCTCCCTCAGCCTCTCAGTCCATAAGATTCCACCGGCCCCTCACCTGTTGCCCCTCTAACTGTTCTCTCCCTGCCTCCCTTGTTTGAATCTGTCAAAATGCTCCATGAGGCTCTAGAAACCACATTTTATGAGAGATGTTTGAAGACTGATAGAATATTCAGGTCAGAGACAAGAGACACCAGGAAGTGCTATTGTCCTATCTGGAAAAGAAGTCAGACTTGGGGTGGCCCAAGAAGACTGAAGACCTGTGGGGGGAGCTGGAGGGGAACACATTCCAGGTTGGTCTGAAGAAGTGAGCAGCTCCAACCTGAGCAGCTGAACTACCACAGGAGCAGCTGATAAACAGCTGACAAGGACTCACACGATGAGGTCCAGCAGAAAGTGTCTAGAGATGCTGTCCAGGCAGAGGGCCTGCACATGGCCAGGCAGGGCTCCCATCACCATCAGTGGCCTGCAGTGAGGCAACCTGCACACAGGCACCCCCACCACCCCGCCTCCCTGCCAGGGAAAGTGACCAGGACACTAGTCTCTCCAGCTGAGTGAGCAGGGCCTTAAGGCCAAGGGAAGAGAAGGGAGGAGAGCGCCTCAATGTCACATGTCCTGTCGCAGTGCTTCAGGGCCTGGACTCAGTTCTTACTGGCTCTTGAGGGGCTCAGAAGGCGAGGCTGGGCTGGAGACAGATTTGATCGACTTCCTTGACGAGGACGAGTCTTGCTGTCAAACAGAGGAGACTGAATCTATTTCTGCGTCTGGCAAGAGCTTTGTTTTCTAAGCCCCGCCGTTCTGTGGGCATCTCCTCACCACCACTGCCCTCTCCCCAGACTTTCCAGACTTGTCAAGATTCCTCTTCTCAAGCTCCAAACTCCTTGAGGATCACAAGCCAGGGAGCTTGGGGACAAAGAACAGGCCTGGAGAGAAAGGCAGGCGCAGTAAGTAGAAGGAGCGTGAACGGAGCTAACACAGAAAGAATGCTCAGCAGAGGCCTGGTGCCCAGCGAGCCCTCAGCAGCTGGTGACGGCGGTGCAGGTGCTGGAGACCCTGCACCCTGTTGGTGAGAGTCTCCTCTAGGTCAGCTGCTCCAGTGGTAGCTCAGCTGCTCAGGTTGGAGCTGCTCACTTCTTCAGACCAACCTGGAATGTGTTCCCCTCCAGCTCCCCCCACAGGTCTTCAGTCTTCTTGGGCCACCCCAAGTCTGACTTCTGTTCCACACATCAGTGGGCTGAAGAGAACAATAGCTCTTCTTAGTGATGAGAACTGAAGACACAATGAAGGGTCCTGCCTCGCCCCCACATCCTAACACACAGCCCCGGCTCCCCTGCAGCCAGAGCACACCTGCGGCTTCATAGGACTGGACAGGCGTGTCCGAGGGCGCCCCAGGCCTGAGCACGGGGCACCTCAAGGACGCATCCTCGGGGATAGGAGGCAGCCAGGAGTGAGCGTGTGTCTCACCTGCCAGGACTTGCCACCAGGATTCTGTGTCTCCCTTTACAAGAGAGTTAGGTGTTTCCCACAGGTGAAGCTTTGGAGCCCTGCTTTGTTAGGGCCGGAAGCCATGGGTGGTGACAAAGGAAGTGGAGCCTGGTTCTCTCTTTCTGCCCCTGGGTCTCCTTCCTTTCCCTTCTCAGTCCTACCTCCCTCTCTTCCTCTGCTTTCCGTCCTCTCCGAGCTCCACACTTGTGTTTTTGATCTTCTCCACAGTGCTGCTCCCTCCCCATGCCTCCCTGCTTCCCAGAGGCACCTATCCCTGCCACCCATCCCCACCAGCCTCCTTGCTGCCTGGAGGAGGTCCAGGTTGGCCCTACCCAGGTCCTGTCCCATGGAGGTTCTTCTAAGTGCCTCCTTAGCCTCAGGCTCCAGGGAGAGGCAGAGTAGCCAGCTGCCCAGGCACCTGCTGAGGTGGAGCCTCTGCTGGAGGCCTTCCCTGGGCTCCCTGGGTGCCTGGCTCTGCAGGGTGTGCAGAGGCCAAAGCCTGGCAGTGAGCTCCCTGCATGCCAGTCACCAGCCCTGGGCTGGGGGGGCTCTCTGTGCTGACTCACAGCAGGGGCTCACCTGGCAGGGGCTCCCAATGGGGCAAAGGCCCCTTGAGCCTCACAGACGCAATTAGCATTTTAAAGAAAGGTCAACAAGAAAGGATTTTAGAGACCTGCTGGGAGCCAAAGGATAATGGTAAGGAAAGTTCACTTGCCCCAGGCCCCAGCAGGCCCATCTGCTGACCAGGTGGTATTCAAGAGGGCATTGAGGGGACCCCATGAGGATTCCAACTTCAGCTCAGTCACAAAGAGGCTTTGGGCAGGTTATTTAACAATTTAACATCCACAAATCTCACTTTCCTTACTGTAAAAAGAAAAAGACAAAAGAATCTAGAGTGGTTTCCTCTCTAGAATTATGATGGTGAGCTAATTGGGAAACTATTTAGATTATCCTCTGGGGATTTGTAAAGTGCCCACTGTGGTCTCCAACCTCATCAGTGGGTTTTTAATCATGACCATCGCTGCCTGGGAGGAAGGGCTTGCTTGGCCTCTGTGCCCTCTCTCTGTCAAGTCCTCTCCCAGGAAGGGCTGACTCCTCCAGCCTTCTTCATGGAAGACCCCAGGAAGAGAGAGAAGACAGGGCCCCCTGGGCAGCGTGTGTGCTGATAAATTCTCTAAGACTTTAGATTGGTTCTGACCTGAATGATTTCCCCATCAAATTTAATGGAAAGTCATTTCAGGGTCCCCTGGTTTCTGAACCATTGAATTCCAGCACTAATGATAAAGGACATAGAATTCCCATCTGAGCCAGTGTACTTAGGCACAGTATATAGAGCCTTCTGAAATGAACGTTGCTGCTGCATAGGAACCAATCTGTGTCAGTACAGTGTCAGCACAGAGATCCTGACAGAAGACCCAGGAACAGGTCAAAGAAAAGCTTTATGCCTGTGGCCATCCATCACCCAGGAGTGCCCAGGCCTCCTGGGGCAGTTTGTGGGTTCCTTTGCTCTAATAACTTGCATTTGTGATCAGGAGAAAACCAAATGAGATTTATAGATGACCAAAAGGAAATTTCGCATGGCTTCTATTTGGCTTAGCACCTTGCCAAAAAGGCACTTAG